CGAATGAATAAATAAATAATTTATTTTTACACACATTTCTTAATATATAATATACTATTATAATAGACGGAAAGGACGATTTTGCTAAAGTATCTAAAAATTTAGTTAAATACAGATCTTATAATAATTTTGTTTGGACCATCAAAATAATTATGGCGAACGCTTAAATTGGTTGCAGTTATTTTGATAAGCGAATAAAACTATTTTCAGATCTATATGTAGCTAAATTTTTAGACACTTCAGCAAAATCATTTTTTGCATGAGATTATAGTCTATTCTTTTCAGCTGAATTTTGTTTTTTTTTTGTGCATGATTCATCCTTCATCCTCTTTTTTCTGACACATGAAAAAAAACATGAAAAAAAGAGAAAAGCCGGACCATGTAAGAAGTTGAGCTGAAAAAAGAATAGAGACTAATAACTTGGAAACTGTGCACGCTCGTCTCATTATTTATTTAACTAACAATCGAAAGAGGAGTTTCGAGTTCACCTTCAATATCCATATGCGCGCTGACGAATCGATCACCCGACGACGGAAAAAAGAAAGTGAGAATAACTTAATCGACGATCGACGCAATATGTTTAGCGTTCGTTTCGTTTCATGACACACACGTCGCTCATTCAAATGAAAGACCTTCTCTCATTTTGCGCGAGACACAAACAGGACAAATACATCGTTGAACTTCACGTTGGACTGTTAAAAAAAAAAAGTAATATCACGTGTGTTTTCACGTCGACCACAGGGAACCTCGATGAAGAGATTGATGGCAAGATGTTGCAAGTCCTTCACCGCAAATATGCATGACGATAGTGACAGAGTTTATTACTTTCGTTTCTCGCTTCCTCTTTCTTTCTCTCGGTTTCGACATTTACGTCCTATTTTTTATGGATGTGTCTGTGATGCGTGCATCACTTATTTACTAGTCAAATCAGACTGAAGAAGGCCATTTCCGAAAAAATAGAGACCTTATAATTTGACAGAGATGCGCCAAAAATTACGTGATCGTGATATTTGCTGATTAGCTGGAGTGAAATTTATTTTCTGTCCTTGTTTTACGCCTAATGAACGATAAAGACAAAAACGTTGACTATTGTGTCATTCTATCTTTATTAGATATAAAACAAGAATAGAATTTTTATTGCAGCCAATTGGCAACTCACGATCACGTGACTCTTGGCACATTTCTTTATATTATAAGAGAGGTTTGTTTATGTTGCTTAAAATTTTCAAAAATTTTTGAACTTGAAACAGATGTAGGTAGGTATATTTGGATTTTGAAAAGAGAGAAAGCTCTATAAAACTAGCAAGACCAAATCAGAATCAAATCGGACTTATCGGAATTTTTAGTACTCATTTTATACTAAATTATACTATTAATGATAATTTTGTATGTGTGCCATTTCGAAAAAAATCGTGGCGATGTTAACTTAATATTAATCTGACAGGACCAATTCAAAATAAAAGAAAAGGAGAAAAATAATATCAGAAATCAATATGATTGAATTTGTACTATTTTGTACTGCCAAAACAATTCTATATTATGTGTCATTTCCAAGAAAACAGTGGCGTTGCTAATTTAAGATTTAAGCTGGCAGGAAAATTTCATAGTGGAACTCGAATGGACTGTTAAAAAATTCGAGTTCCATTTTGAAATTTTCAAGCTTCATAATTGCAATGGGAATATATTTTTACAAAATTTTTAAATTGGTGAGTCGATGATGATGATAAAACTTGTAAACAAATGGAAAATGTTTTATTTATATGAAAATGATAAATTAAAAATAACCCATCTATAGAACAATTTACTATCTTTAAAATCGATCTGTTGCATTTTTTTGTATGACTAATGGGTTTCGATGATATAATAATTTAAATGTTCGCATGAGCGATGTTTTTTCATGAATTTTTGCAACTTATTTGCGTCAATACACAAAAAACGATGTCACATTTTTTTCGCGAAACATGAAATATTTTTATCTGCAGAATATGTTAGCAAATTAAAAAAAAAAATAAAATGATGATATTTCAAAGGTGTCCAATTTGACATGGAATACCTCAAAGATTATAAGTTTTAATTACTTACTTTTAATTACTTACAATTTAATGAGATAAATAATAAAGTCATTTAAGAAGAAAACATGTAAAATATTAACTTATTTTCATGGTATAAATTAGTACAAATTCAGTTGTGTTAATTTTTGCCCTTGTGTTGTTTTTTTATGGTCCTGCCAACTTAAATCTTAAATTAACAGTGCCACTGTTTTCTTGAAAATGATGCATAATATACAATATACAATGTTTTATGTTTTTGGCAGTACAAATCAATCGTTTATTTCTGATATTTATTTCTGATATTATTTTTCTTCTTTTCTTTTATTTTGAATTGGTCCTGCCAGTTTAATATTAAGCTAGATTTTTTTCGAAATGGCACACGGTATAAAATTATCATTAATGGTTTCACTCACAATTGAGTACAAAATGAATACTAAAAATTCCGATAAGTCCGATTTAATTCTGTTGATTTAGTCCTGCTAGCTTTATAGAACTAAAAGCAAAGATGCATAGTAGTAGAGCAAAAAATACAAGCAACGCGAGCAGATTTAGGATTTTTATAAAGAAAAAAGAAGAAAAAGTTCAATTTTTTATTTCTCCGTGACAGATTTTTTGAATGGAAGGCAAGGTGTTCCTATTCCGCGTCACGATTTTTCCTCGCGTATTTATGGAGCTGGTACATTCAAATGCAATTCGCGGACGCGAGTCGAATTCTGCATAGGTATTACATAAATTTTGTGCATGAAAATCAGAACAAGTTTCACCAAATTCGCATTCGAGGAGTGTCGCGTTGCAGCGAGGGAAATTCGCAGACGCGAAGTCGAATGACTTGTACGTTTCTAATATGAGTCGCGTGAACATGCGTGTAATACGCAACGGCGGATTCACTTGTTCAACTGGTTAATCGACTTTCGTTCTGATTACGGTTTTGATTACGGAAAACGTTTTCACGCGTCCATACAGCTCGAATATTTCATTCCATTAAAAGTGATCTTCTCGCTTCATTCGTTTCCTAGTTAAGCACAAGTTTCCAGCATTCCGTACTATTATTTAGAGGCTTTAGGAGTTAGACACAATGAAAAGCACAGGCAATAGGAATGGAGAATAACGGATTTCAATCTAGAAATCGTACACCTACACTGTAATACACGATTTATCTGAGACACAATCGAAAAGCAATAGACACACAGGCAATAGAAACATGAAATAACAGCAGATTTCAATCTACCTGCAGAAATCATGTTACACACACAGCATAATATACAATTTTTTTATATGGATTGACATGTTATTTTCTGTTCCTATAAAAGAAACGAGTTTACTAAAGTATTTAAAAATTCAGTTAAATATAAATAAATGTAAATCTGAAAATAAATAAATTTTAGCCACCAGTTTGAGCATCCCACATAATTATTATATATTCGATTATATAACAAAATTATTTTTAAATCAGTATATTATTAAATTTTTTCCTGTTCTCCAAAACTTCAACATCTTTGCTGGCCAATGCAATCTGATCCCTGTAAATTCAAGAATATACGCTTACTCGATTTCTTCAAATCTCTTGAAATGCTGACTGCACGTTAAAAATAAATTCTTTTCCGTCAGATTACGATCAGACAGCGTTTTTTCTTTTACCGAATTTCACGGACGCCGCAATAGTTTCGGAAGACTACCCCGGCCGGGGGGGTGGTTCTCGCATTCTTGTTTGAACTCCGATGCAACCCTCGATGCACCGCACCAGCGAGGTCGCTCGGTCGTCTCCGTCGACTCTCGGCCATGACCGGCATGCGTCCGGCAACCAGCGCCGTGACCTGTCGGCAGACTACCAAAGCAGACCAAAGTTAAGTCAGACGCCGACGATCGGGAAACGATGTCGCCGTCTTTGTTGTGCGCGCCGTCGTCGTCGGCGCCGTCGCCGTCGCCGTCCGCGTCGCCG